GGATTTTGAGCATAACTTTGCTAGCATGTGAAATGAGTGCAATGGTGTGGTAGTTTGAACATTCTTTGGCATTGCCCTTCTTTGGAACTGGAATGTAAACTGACTTTTTCCAGTCCTGTGGCCACTGCTGAGTTTTCCAAATATGTTGACACACTGAGTGTAGCACTTTTACTGCATCGTCTTTTAGGATTTTGAATAGCTCAGCTGGAATACTGTTGCCTCTACTAGCTTTGTTGCTGCCTAGACTTCCTAAGGCACACTTAACTTCACATGCCAGGATGTCTGGCTCGAGGTCAGTGACCACCCCATCGTGGTTATCAGGGACGTTAAGCTCTTTCTTGTATAGTTCTTCTGTGTAATCTTGCCACTTCTTCTTAATCTCTTCTGCCTCTGTTAGGTCCCTGTCATTTTGGTCCTTTACCATGCCCATCTTTGCATAAAACGTTCCCTTCATATCTCCAATTTTCCTGAAGAGATCTCTGGTCCTCCCTATTCTATTGTTTTCTTCTATTTCTTTGACTGTTCATTTAAGAAGGCATTCTAATCTCTTCTGGCTATTCTCTGGAATTCTGCATTCAATTGGGTGTATCTTTCTCTTTCTCCCTTGCCTTTCGCTCCCCTTCTTTCCTCAGCTATTTGAAAAGCTTCCTCAGATAGCCATTTTGCTTTCTTGCATTTCTCTTTCTTTGGGATGGTTTTAGTTGCTACCTCTTGTACAATGTTGCGAACCTCCATCCATAGTTCTTCAGGCACTCTGTCTATCAGATCTAATTCCTCAAATCTATTTGTCCCCTCTACTGTATATTCATCAGGAATATGATTTAGGTCATACCTGAGTGGCCTAATGCTTTTCCCTACTTTCTTCAATTCAAGCCTAAATTTTGCAACGAGAAGCTCATGGTCTGAGCCACAGTCAGCTCCTGGTCTTGTTTTCACTGACTGTATAGAGAGCTTCTCCATCTTTGACTGCAGAGGACATAGTCAATCTGATTTCTGTGTTGACCGTCTGGTGATTTCCATGTGTAGAGTTGTCTCTTGGGTTGTTGGAAAAGAGTGTTTGCTATGACCATCGTATTCTCTTGACAAAATTCTACCAGCCTGTGCCCTGCTTCATTTTGTACTCCAAGGCCAAACTTGCCTGTTATTCCGGTTATCTTCTGGCTTCCTACTTTAGCATTCCAATCCCCCATGATGATAAGAACATCATTTTTTGGTGTTAATTCTAGAAGGTGTTGTAGGTCTTCACAGAACCGGTCAACTTCAGCCTCTTCAGCACCAGTGGTTGGGGCATAGACTTGGACTATTGTGATGCTGAATGGTTTTCCTTGGATTCGAACTGAGATCATTCTGTCATTTTGGAGATTGTATCCCAGTACTGCTTTTCCTACTCTTTTATTGGCTATGAAGGCTACATCTGCTTTACTGTCCTTTATATCCAAACTTTTATTCAATATACCATGTTCGGGCAACATGGTAGTTCCTAGAATCACGGCATTAGAAGTATAATTAAAAGAGCTCCACTGCAATAACCAGAAGTCCACAAGTTACATCCAGGCTTAGTAGCCAAAAATTATTTCTGCTAGCCAGCAAGCCTACAGTACAAGTGCCTGAATATGTGCGGCATGGATGTGTCTCCATTTGTATCTAGCAAATGGCTCCTCCCACATCTTGCTCCTCCCACAGAATTAAGCAAGACAACTTTCATACCCACACCCTCATACACAACTGTCTATTTTATTTATCTACTCATGGCCATAAAAGTACTTGGGCTGAGGGCATACGCGCATGCATGCGCACGCACACATTTGTGCCTCCATAAGCCTCAATCACATCTTTTGTTTTGACAGAAAAGCACACCATATTCTGAACACATTTGGAAACCCCCAGAGGCCCACTTCCATAAACAACAGGACATTCGCATTTGAAGAACATCTGTATTTCAAAGCTGTTTGAAATGAGAATTCTTTTTATACTCAAAGAGCTTAGCAGGTGCTGGAATAAAGTATTTGAAGGAATGCAGGATATAATTTTGTTTAAAGATACAAAAATCCCTGAGGTGATGCAGTTCTGGGCTGTGCTTATAAAATATCTCATTCCTTCTCCCAGACCCGTAAGGGATTCTCTCAACAGACTGACAGACTGACACACGGGCAGACAGGCCTCACAAGGAGGAATAAAGACACAGCCAGAATGCTGAATTAAAAGCTAAAGGGACTAGGCTTACCCAGTTCTGAGGCATCTGAACTATATATTCTACAGAACACTCAGGGGGAGACAAATATTGAAACAAGGCCAAATGTTTCTCTTATAGCCTGCTAGTCTCACACAATTTGCAAAGTGCACACGACGACTCTGCTTCTCATATGATTAAAAAATTTCCCAGCCACAGAGTCTAACTACTTCTCCCCTGTCAAATAATGGTGTAACAGCAACTACCAGATTGGGTGAATTTCAAATAAGCATGGTACATCTTTGTACAGCAGTTCCCCATGTTAAGATGCATATAGTGTATGGGTAACTACATATGTTTAACAAACCTAATACATCATATAGAGATAGCCTACAACTATTGTGCCAGTTCTCATAGATTCAGTGAACATCCAAGTTACTCTATGTATTCTACCAACCACGTGCCCCTGACCCTAAACTAGGCAGACAGGTAAATAGCAAGAGATGACTCTTCAAATCAGCAGTGAAACTGGAGTATTTAAGGATATATTAAGGCATTTTGCTATTATCTTTAATGTTGAGAGTCCTGTTACTAACATATACTAACAAGTATGTGTAGTCAGACATTCAAAATTTAAGCACAACTAGAAACTAGCACAATTCTAGTTGTTGTAGGATGCATTACTTGCACTCTTCCTCACAAACATTCAAATAAAAATTGGAAGCAAGCATAATATTTGGGTATATTCACAGGCCAGTTTCAATACCATTCTTTAGTGATCTCAATTTCCATCTTCATGTAGAATTTATCTACTTTAAAATGTCAAAACTATCATGCCACAGAATAATACAAACATTTGTTATAATACATTGCATATTAAACATCATGAAGTACCAACAGCAGAGCAGCAAAAATAAAGTGACACCAAGTGGCCAATGAGTAACATGGCAGCTATTAATTCTCAACAAGATTCAGTAATCAATGATAGCTCAGAGGGATATCCATGAATAGGGATCTTGTGGAAAGGACATTTAGTGAGAGTAGACAGTGAAGGAGGCCTCACCAGTGTGCTACTTCTGGGCCAGCACAAACTGTTGTATTTGAGCTCCATGGCAAAGCAAAGTATACTTAACTTCTTATTTACAATCCCTTCATTCCCTTTCTTCATAGTGGTGAATTTGAACACTTCCTATTTGCTAGATAATTTCCCCATGGAGACTGTAGTACTGAAAAAGTTATACTGGGTTAGACTTAGCCATACTTACCTATTGAAACAATGGAACTTTAAAAAATTATGCATAACTTAAATCCAATTTGATGGCAATGGGTCTAACAATGCCTAAGCCAGGATCCAAACTAATGCATTATCAATTTAGGTTACAGAGATGTTATTAATACAAATGTAATGGAATTATGCTTAATAAAAGTAGACAGGCATGCAGTTCTAGCTAGACATTTGAGAATAAAATAGTGAAGACTGTATATGGTCTTCTTAGTGGTCCAACCAAGGCCAAATGAAGGGAGCAGTATCTTGAGCTCTTCCTACAGTGCTTTTATATCAATAGGCCTTGACTGTTTCAAATGCAATCAAACAGCAGAAACCTCACAGCTCAATTTCTGATGGGTGGACTGGAAAATCTGAGTTGATGATTCTTTAAAATTTCTTTTAAGATTTCCATCCAACGTAACGTACTTCTAAAGCACTCTCAGGCTTGGTTAACAGCATATTAATCGGTAAACCTAGAAGCATACCTTTATTGATCAGGTTCACACAGCATGACAACCCACACTTAAGGTTGAGTATGGACTGAGTGTGGTTTGTCACTTAATTGTGCGTTGTTGCACTCTATGAACCCACCTGCTACAATCATTAAAGTTATTGCTAACTGTATATTGTATTACAATTATCCAATTTCGAGCCTATTGGGACTGTTTGAAATTAACAATATTACCAAATTGTGCAAAAAGTATATTGCATCTCAAGTAGCATTTCTTCCACAAAAGAAGCCAACTGTCTGTACAAATAGCACACAAAGCATTAGTTGTTAAACCAGAAATTTAGCAGCCTACATTGTTTCAGGTTTGCTTATTTTGGGGGAAAGTTTGTGAGGAATACAAGTCATTTTATTATTCGATTTCATATCAATATGTGCAATATATGTTCTTGGGTTTAAAGTTTCATTCACCTGTAGCACATGCAATCGTGCATTTAAAACCACTGGGCAGAATCAAACAGGGTTGCTAACACATCCACCAATTCCCTTTCTCCCTGCCTATTCCCATTTTCAAGCAAAGTCCTTTCACCTTCCAAAACAAATATTTCTGAACCAGCCAGAATTGAGTTTAAATACTAGCTTTTGGAACGAGGCCCACACTGCTTACACTATACAAGTACATGCTGGTCTTCATTTTTCAAATGAGAAACACCAGCACTCAAGTCTGTTCCAGGTAGAACTGTATGACCTACAAGCAGTATATGTGTTACAGTTCTTCAGTAGCAAACAAAAGAAACTCTACACATGCCTACAGGTCCTTAAATTACACTGAGCTTGTGAACCAGATCCTTAGCTAAACTCTGACTGAATTAAACCCGTCTACGTTAGCAACTTCCTTTGGCCAGCTTATTCCATGAAGATTTAATCACATTTAATACAGAGAGGCCAGTTTCTTAAGATTCCACTTTACTGTGTTTCCGCTGAGAATGGCGGCTCAAAGTAGCAGAACAACAAAGCTGCTGTTACAAGGACCTGTTCTTCTAGTCTTTCATTGTACTTTGTGAACAACAAAGCAACAGACAGGTGCACTGTAAATATAATCTAAAATGACTCACTTTGTTTTCCTGTGTGACAAGTATACTTGCACCACCTGGTTTCAGAGGGACTTCCTCCATTGCTCCAAATACATCTGTCTCAACTGAGAAGGTCAGTTCTAGTCCCAAATCACTGATATCATTATCTAGAATCCACTGCAAGTTCTTTGCATACTCTGGATCAATAGATGCCACATCCTGATAGTTTACAGGGATACCTTGAAAGAAAAACAAAACAAACTCCTTCATGCATATTAGTTTAGATATTCTTTGTCTTTTTCTGTTCATTTGTAGTAAAGGAGTGCCCTCTACAGACACAGTGAAACAGTGCAGGGTGAAGGGGAAACGATCTTGGCAATCCATGACAAATATTTCCTAGACAAGGGTGATCTGTTATAAGCTGCTCTGTTGCCACAAAATGATGTGTGGCTTCCAGAATGGTCAGACTACACTCATAATGCTTCTTGTGTATGCTGCGGTGGCAAGCATGAGCTATGCCCACAGGGAGGTCCTCATGCCAAATCTTAGCTGAGGCTCCCATTCCAGGTGGGTTTACAGCAAGTCATTTACTTTCAAGTTTCCCACCTCCACTGGCAATTTGGGCATCATATTGGGCTGCCTTACAGAATTGCTGTAACATTTACTTGACTATGTTCTTTGTTCATCTGTTCTTTCTAAAAGCACTATATTAACAACAACTTGCAGCATCAGAAGGTTTGGTCAGGCTGCAGACACGATGCAAAGCTGAACCTTTCTTTTCTTTAGTAATGCTGTGGCTTCCTGCTTTACTCAGGAATAAAGTAGGAAAGAAATTCAAATACTGTAACAGGAATTAGCTTGTCAGATACAGTTTGTGATATACCACACATCTTAACAGAACAGATTAAAGCCTTAATGAAACATACCAAGGATATGCTTGTAGAATGACCTTGTGAAGTAAATGTTGACCAGTTGTTTGTGATTCAGTGCTAAACCCAAGATTTGTCCAGCAAATCTAAAGTAGTTCAAGTGGTCAGGATTTACAGAAGAGTTGCTATTTGGCTGGAAGGTGGTTCCTACAAAAACAAGGAGGATTATCTTTCATTTCTTGGCTTTCAAGACTGTATAGAACACTAAGCTTTGATAATTCTGTGATTCAGTGCCACAAAATATAAAGTAGCCAAAATTGTTATTTTCCAACAAAAAATGAAGAAACAAAATATATCTCAAAGATACAACTTTAATTTATAATTAAAATGAGTCTTCCTCTAAAGAAACTTTTTATTGCAAGCAAAGGATGATAATGCTATCTTTTTATTTGCAAAAAAAACTGACTTCAGAATAGTCTAAGCAAAATTCTTGTGCAAAAATGTAATTCATGTATGTGCCTTTGCTTTCTGTTTTGTTTACATTACTGAAATACTGTCAGAGCACACACAGAATTGTCAGTAGGCAGAAAGAGAAATAATGGGGCAGATCTTCCCCATTTACACTTCCATAATTTACATTTTTGGCTTGGAACTGGAATGGCACAAACCACCTAGGGAAAAAACAAAGCTGGTATCACTTACAATGCTTGAACACTATGGGTGGTCTCCAACACCCCTGCCAATTCTGTTATGCTGATTTGGCTGCACAAGCAGAATCTCCCATTCAATCTGTTGTGCAAGTGGGACCTGTTGCGTGAACAATGGAGATTTAGCATTTCCCAGAGAAAGCTCTGGAATGAGTGCAAATGCTCGTTTCTGGATCAGAATTGGTCAGCGGAGCTCTCTTACGTTAGTTCCACTGATCCACTCTATTCCTGAAACAAGCTTTTCTGCTTGCTTCCAGTTGCTTCTAGAAGCACTAAATCTCCATTGAACAAATGGTGAGTGCGGGTTGTAGAATGGAATCATCAGCATGCAAACGAGGAATGCCTTCTTCCACATTTGCCTTCCCACCCCCTGAGATTGGCAGCAGAGGCCCTCCTCCGGGAACCCTCCGTGAAAGATATTAAGAGGCAAAGTACCCGGAGGAGGGCTTTCTCTGCAGTTGCACCCTGCCTATGGAATGCGCTCCCCAGAGAGGTCCGCCTAGCGCCGTCGTTATTTGTTTTGTGGTGCCAGGTTAAGACCTTTTTATTCCAGCAATATTTTAATAACTTTTAATATTGGTTCTTATATGTTTTTAACTGCAGCCGGTGTGGGTCTGTAATTCATTTGTGTTATGTTTTATATTATTATGTAAGCCATCCTGAGGCCTTTGCGACAGGACGGCATATAAATATTCTAAATGAATGAATGAATGAATGAATGAATGAATGAAATTAGCCAGGACATAAGCCTCTATTGGATAACTACTCTACAAAAAATATTGTCTTTCAAGGTTTTTTACATAATATGTAAAAAAAGTAGAAAAGTACTATTTTACTAGTACTTTTCTACTTTCCATAAAAGTAGAACATAAAATTGTTCTACTTTTTCAGATTAGAACATATATTAAGACTGTGGTTCTAACAAACATGCTATACTGTAAGCTATACTGGACACAGGGAAGTTCCAAGTAAATTTATTTCTTTGTTTGTTTTTATTATAAGCTTTTCTATACCATCCTTCACTGAGTCCCAGGATGGTAAATTTGATTAAGACTGCTACGTAAATATGTAATATATGAACATTATTGGATTTCTAATGTTTCTAGAGAGGCAGTCATATTAGCTTACTGGAATGACATCCAACCAATGTATTATGGAATGAATGTTCATGGCTAAAAATACATTCTGCAAGTCTTGCCACAATAAGATGCAAAACTAAAAATAGGTAAATATGTAACTGGGTTTCTTTATTTGTGTTGTGGATTATATAAATGTTGGAGGATTAAAATCCACTGTGGTATGCCATCCTTAGTTGGCAGGGATATTACACGCATATCAATACAAAAAGAGTAAGAATTTATCAGCCGAGTAGTTGGGAGAAAAGAGAAACAAGACATGCAGAAAGAAAGCGTTATGTTAAACTGTGGATGTATGCAGAAAAAAGTTACAGTCACAAGAGACAAAGTAGTGTTAATAAATGTCCTTGCCTTGGTAAACTAATTAAGAGCTGTAGTAGGACAAAAATTATGTTATCTCAGTTCAAGCTACAGATGGCAGAACCACAAACATCAAGTCTCTAAGGTCTCACAAGATATGTTGTTGACTTTTCATTGTTGCATTAGTTGTTTTATAAATAATACTGTTGCACCTCAAAGTTGTTTCCAAGTACCTACAAAGATAGCTGCAGCATTCTACTTCCTCCTAAGCAATTCTGAACTTAAAAACTAATTGGTTGAAGAAGAGCAACTTTCTCCCTTTAGAAAATTTGATATCCTGACCTTACATAACAAAATGACAATTCTCTCATGCATTTTCAGACTGGGAAAACACAGCCCAGGACAGTTCTATGAAGCAAAAAGAGTCTTGAGCCTGCAGCATGGCTACTTGAAAGGGAAGGGCATTGAAAGCACCAATTTTCTGGGGTAAGATTAGGATTTGTCATTTGAACAAAAAAGGCCAGAGATCTCATTTGCATTCATGCAACAGCTGGAAAGCAGAGGTCCAGCAAAAAAACACAGAACCCGTCCTTTTAAGCATCAGGAATGGTGCAATTTAAAAAAAAATTCAGCCGTTCTATATTAATTCATAAACTATTATGAGATAAAACAGATGACATACCATCAGCTGATTGCGTAAAAAGGGCATAGTCTGGGTTAATTATCTCATTGGAGAGGATATCGAACCATTCCCGTACTACACCTTGACCCTAGTTGCAAACAAACAAACAAACAAACAAAAAAAAGGTTACAAGACTTCAGTTATCAGTTTTATGCTGTATACTTGGTTTTTTTTTAAAACATTCCTAGCCAGGTAACTGCACACTAAAAGAGACTTTAATTCATGCTGTGTAGGGCCTTTCAGAAATATTCAAGCCCCTTTGACTCTTGACTCAGGGCAAAGAATGCCTATGAAACAAGAAGAGCCTATTTGTTCTATTTACTTGAAATCTGTACAGCAATAAAAATATTTTGCACCTCCACAGTGATGAATATGTTATGCCCATCAAATGCTAACAGTGCTATTTCAATCCATTTCAGTTCCATGCTGTAATGCAACAGAATATAGAAAATTCAAATGGGGATAAATACTTCTGTGAGGCACTAAATAGGTAAAAAAAAAATCTCATGAGAGGTCAGGTGGCATTTCCAAAGAAGGCACACCCCAAGCCTTATCTGCACACAAAGCTTTTTCCTGCTGTGTTTCTGACTATCTGGGGACAGTAAACAGAATATCAGTACTTCAGTGTCAGACATAATACTTTGACAAGAACTACATTCCGATAAAGTTCATCACCCTCATTACCAAAAGGACGGAAGGTGACACACATTAGGTCTCTTGCGCTAAAACTAGGTCTTCACCCTCAAAAACACTTATTTCAATCCAACTGCCTCAGAAATTGGTATAACAATGAGCCAAGTGGCCCAGGCAGGTTTTCTCAATTTAGAGATATTTGCTATGACAGTTTCAGAACTGCTGTTCTACAGAGACTATTTTTATACGCATTTCATAAAACTATGTATTATACATTAGACAATATGTAATTACTCACCATGCCTTCTTCACCATGGAAACGCACAGCAATTCCCTGTTTCAACTTTGCACAATTTGCTTTAGACACAACTTCACAGCTGCTCCTAAAAATAGAATCTAAATATGAAAACCAATTAATTTCTTAACTTTGTCAACATAGAAAAGCTTCTCATGAAGAGGATGGCACAGATGAAGTTCCTTACCTCTGTGGACCAAGAGAATGTCATTTTCATTGACTGGCCTATGCACCATGTCCGAGTCGGGTTGCCCTGAATGCAAATGCTCATAAAACCACTCGCAGCGATCTTTAAAAGGCTAAGGGGAGGGAAAACATACATAAAACCAAATGTGTCATATGTATTATGAGCTAAGCTTGAATGTATTTGCTAACTCAGCTCTAATATGAATGCAGATGGAAGAATATATCATGATTAACACTAAAAATGAAAGGGAACGGGAAATAAGACTTTTGTTTGTGAGCCAGAGGGTTCTGGTCTGGTGATTCACACTGGATTAGGACTAGGGAGATGCAGGTTCAAAACCACATTCAGCCATGGAATTTTCAAGATGTGGCCTTGATTCTGTCAGTGTGGGCTGGTTTGCAAGATCACTGTGGATTACTGAACGCACAATGAGCCATATGCATGCTGAGAACATGCAGGTATTTTGCATGTATTAAATAACCCACAACCTCCCAGCAGTATTCCACACACCAGGTCTGTATCTCAGCCTCACAGAGGCTGTTGATAGTATCAAAGAAGGGTACCAAAAGGATGCCAAAGGGAAGTTACTATATACAGAATTACCTGTGCTATTACTCAGGGCTTAAGCTGAAGTCTATAAAACATAAGAGTATTCTTTATTCCTTTCTTAGCTTACCAACAATGGACTTATATGATAAAAGTCTATCGATGGAAGAGGTAGAGAAGAAAAATAAACTAGGTGGTCTATCTTTGCATGCCACTAAGTGTATGATCCAATGCCCTCTGCCCTCGATCCACACAGGACTCCAAATACAAGGGTTCTCTCTCCAATGTCAGGCACAGTGGTGGCAATCTCTGTAGTCCCCAAGCCTCACCCCTGGCATTTTCCACCATCCAGATGAAGTGTCACAGAGGACAATGCTGTGGGGCCAAGGGCTTATGCTGTGTCCAAATGTCACCTCAGTCGTCTTCCCTCCTTGCCCTGCAGGACTCCTTATTTCTTACCTCTGGGAGGCAGTCAGTGTTCTTTCTGTAAAAGGGGCGGGGCCGGGCAGGGCAGGTTTCCCAGGACCTCAGAGCTGGGACTCCAAATAATCCTGTGTTCCCACCCGAGGACACAGGATTGAGCCCTTAGGTGTTTTAATAAATACAGCATCTATAAGATTGTCAAAGGATATTTTGTCTACAGATAACTGGGGTCTACACTGCAGTAAATTTTCACTCTGATTCAGTGCCCTGGTGCACATTCAAGTACGATCTGGTATGCACCGCAGCAGTACTGTGACACTCTCTTGAGCATGAAATAATTTTAACCATGTGCAGTGGGATTTTAATGCCTTGACAGAAAATATCCCAGTATATCAGACAAGAAATAAGAGACCAAAGTATAAAACATCAGAACCAGTGATTTTGCACACCATCAACACATGGAACAGTGAACTATACTACACTACTTTGGGCTTGAGTCTACTGATTTAAGACGACATTACTGTCAGAGACAACATTATGTATGTGTGATGGACCTGTTTATATTAGACTATGACCTCCTACAGAGAAACTCACACATGGTTCAAATACAGCTAATGTAGATGACTAAGTTGCTTATTATTTTTTTGAAGTCCTCCTAGTAAGATGGCCACAGTCAGTTAAGAAATGGAACATTCTGCAGACACCTCTTAAAACAAAGTTTGAGGTTACATACTTAAGGAAGAAGAGTTTATTCATTGCCATCTTAACTGCTTCCATGAACTACCTGACAGTTAGGACCCCGAGGGTATAGAATGGGCTTCCACAGGAGGTAGTTGAGGCCCCATCAGTGAGGATGTTCAAGGGCAGGCTGGACATGCACATGGTGGGCATGTTGTGAACAGAGCCAGCTGGAGCAGGGGGTCAGACTAGATGGCCCAGGAGGCACCTTATGACTCGCTCTGTTTCTATGTTACTTATGAGTCCATCATGTGTATGAACATGGATTAATGTCAGCACTCATATACTTATGCCCATATGCACAGCAGTAACCAGTCAAAGAAAGACCAATGTTCAAACAAATTCAAATTCGTAAGTGTTGAGATCTTTTTAAACCATTCATTAATTAAGATTTTCTATCTTTCAAACTAGAATTTCATATTGCTTAGACAGTATTTCATAATAAGTTGTGTGTGGGAAATCACAAACTTTGCAATAAATAAAGATTGAGGGCACCCATGCTCACTGCTGGCATTGGATCTAAAATCAGACACATCTAAGTGGGCAAGGACAAGTGGCTTTCCTGGCTGTTCCTTCCCAAAGCATCTCTTACAGTTCCTAAAACTGCTATACAGAGGATTAGGGCCTGAATAGGTGAGTTGTGGTACAGGAAGAAGGAGATCCCCACCAAAAAATAAGGTGGAAGCACCTCTATGCACAGGTCTTGGAATCAACCCATGGACTACAGGTCACAAGGCACAACCAAGTACAAAGCAGCAGTGCTATATTTAAAACTAAACCTTTCAAAAGTGTAGTGGGCTGGGTGTACCAATAGCTCTACCTTATGGCAAAGAGCATACCTGCAGGCTCAAATCCAATGGTTTCTGTAGCTCATTTATTCTAGCTCAGCCCATTATGCCTTAAATATCCTCTTTAAAAATACTGTGTGCTTCAGCCTCATGTTAGGGGAATTAACATGACATGACAAGATAAGCCATCATGGATTAACTCTCGGAGTATCACAGTGTGTGCTATCTGCCATTATGAAGATGAGATGGAAGCCTTGGCTTAGGGTTGCAGTGGCTTGTGTCATTTTGGGTAAAAGGAGTTATATGGGGATTAACCAATCCTCAACAACTCTAAAACAGACAGTGACTGGGCAAGCCCTCACATAAACCCAGCTGCCTAGAGTCAGGCACACTGCAAGCTCCAGCTGGGACATACATATTCATGATGGCAGGCAGTGCACATGGCTGCACTGTAATGGTGAATTAACCCAGAGCAAACTGTCATGGTGTCCAAAGCAGATCATGATATCAAACATTTTCAACACTCACCTGTGCTTTTATGATGTGCATGAATCTGGACATGAGCTCAGGACATTCGAGAAGAAAATGGAAGTGGTCAAATATAATTTTTGGATTTCTGGGGAAAGAATACAACCTGAGATTAAGCTACATGCACCCTGTTTGATTCAGGAAGCACACATGACAAACTTTTGGTCCCGGAGACAAACAGTACAAGCATTTTCAAAGAATTAACAGCTCATAAATTAAATGTCATGCAAAAAATGACAGTACATGTTTCAACTATATATAAACAGCTGTCCAAATATAATAAGCGATACAAAACAAATATACCCACTAGTGCTGGTATGTTTACTACAAAAGTGATAATCTCACATTCAGAACTGCCATATGGTATCATATAATGCACAAATTAACAGAATATGTAACATATGGCTATCAGATTTTATTTTAATTTAATAAATAAATTATAAGTAAAAATAAGAAAAGGTTAATAAATGTCACTATTTTTAATTTATTAATAACAAGTTCTAATCCTTCCTTATTTATTTGATTTATATCCCACCTATTCTTCTTAAAGAACTCAAAGCGGCTTACATCATTCTCCTCCTCCTGCTCTCAATCTTATCCCCACAGCAGCTACCCTCTGAGGTAGGTTGGGCTGACAGTCTGTGACTGGCCCAAAGTCACCCAGTTGCCTGAATGGCTGAGTGGGGATGAGAATCCAGATCTGAGTCCCAGTCCTGTACTTGTCACCACTGCACCAAATAACCCCCAAATTGGTGTATACTAAAAAAACGAAGAAAATAACTAAAATGTAGACATTTTAATAAAAGTAGAAGATAAACCAGCGATGGTAGAGATGATCAAAGTTCAGAATTAACAAGCATTAAATTATTTTACTATCCACTGAGAGATCATCATGGATAGCTTGGCCAGGAAAAGGTGACTTGGTGCCCTCTGGATTCTTTGGATTACACCTCCCAAAGGTCCTAGTTAGCATGCCAATAGCCAGGGATTCTGGAAATAGTAATCCAACTTATATCAAGGAAATCCTTTGGATATAATATAATCCTTGGATATAATCCAAATTATATCAAAGCCATACTTTACTGAGCATAGAACAATTTTTAAAGGGTAACATGACTCTTCCAGATGGAATAGGATGCTAAATTCTGGGCTTTAGCCAAAGACCAGATTATGAAAGCACAATGGACAATTTAGCTATCATGCCAAGCCATGGTTTGCATTAACTACAGTTTAGAAGGTGGTTCACAAACTTGGTGCTCAAGATGTTTTGAAGGTCTTCTCCTATCAGTTACGCATGGCCCATGGTCCACTGTAGCTGTAGTTCAAAGCACCTGGAGAACACCAGGTTGGGGAATGCTGGTTTAGAAACCAAACATGAGTTAAAGTTCTAAATGTATAACATACTTTACAGGGTCTTCTCTGCTTTTCTGTCTGTTCAGCATTCTGCCTCAAATTGCTAGAAATGGAGTGGTTACTGCAATTATGATTTCTAAATTCAGACCTTATGCTAAATTATATTTTGTCACAAACCATGGTACAATTTTTATTTTACAGTAATTCACAAACCATATTTGTGAATTAATATATCCATACCAAACCATGGCTTGTCTTCTTAAGCTATTTTAGGATTTCAGATACTCCCCCTTCAATACAGTTTTCAATAAAAAAAACAATACATGAAGCAGATAACAATAAAATCAAAACACTGCAGGTACAAACAATGTAAAAACAGTGCAAATAAAACTGATTTAGAAGGTCTAGGAAAATGAAAAGGTATTGCCACAAAGAGGACAGCAGAAAAGGCAGCAGCCAAGCTTCCCTGGTGAGAACATCCATAGGTGGGACATCACCACCCATCTCCACATAGGACATTTGTGCAGGTGATTCTGATATGGCATGAAGTGAGATGAGCTAGCTAAAAGTTTAAGCACACACTCCTAATTGTACATACCATAAACACCTGCAATTAATTTCATCTGCAATATCTACAAGTTTCAGAGAAGTATACAGGCTAGTTAGCTGCTTTATCTGACACCCCACTTTGAAGTTAACAGTGCTAACAATAAAAAGGTGTTAATTTCCAATGACATACCGGTTAACAAAGCATTTAAGAACATTGTCATGTTTGCAGACAAACTCTATGAAGCGAGGAGATGTCATTCTGCAATACAACATTCAATCAGATTAAAAAGGTATCCAAATCTAATAAGGCAATAATTTCCCACAGGACTGAATTCATGAGAAGCAATCCAAAAAATTTACATTGGAGCAGCTTTATTAAGTCACATATTCCAGATTAAACAATAGGCCTTTTAGCATTAATACTGGGACAGTCCTGTTCATCCATGAGCAGGGCCCATCACCTCAAAATTTATCTTAACTGACGTAACTGCTCTGACCATACAATGGGACTAAACTCCAGAGGCGCTACTCTGAGTTCTTTGGAGTAAGTGAGTTCCACAAATGTTAAAATTATGAGCTTTGTAGCTTCAAGCCTCTGGACCAGATGTTCTAGGTCTCTCTACTATATTGTACTAATCAGTCATACATTCTGTATCTCCCCTGTACCCTGGCCTATTGTTTTACCCCTGAAAGATGGACTTATAATCTAGAAAGAAATAAGAAAGAATTAAGAAATAACTGAGAAGCTTAAACCTTTTCCTGTCCACGAGATTTATTCTCTAACAATGCTCCAAAATTCTCCTGCACATGATTGTACATTTGATAACTGTTCTAATTTGGCCTTAGGGCTGAATTAAAGTTTTGGCTATCTCCACATAGCTAAGCCTTGTTCATCTCTTCTTCTAAGGGTATGGAAGACATAAGCAAGAAATTTGCTCAGCTCTCCACAATCATGCAAGGATGGAAATGTATTTATCTTTCTCAGGGACACTGCAGTAGTCAGTAGTGCACTCCTCTGCAGATATGCTTTCCCTTTTCCCTGAAAGCTAATTTTCAGTCTCCACTGACACTGACTGAGCAGTACTTATTTCCAGAACATACATTTCCTTTGCAACCAGTGTGAACCCTTCCAAAAACCAATTTAGTGTTTTTCAAAGAGAGCCTGACTCACATCAACTGTGAACTTATCCAATTCATTCCTGTGCTTGAGAAAATATAAAACCAATGTGACCAGTGTGATGCATTTTTTAAATTATATTCGATCAATTTGGGGAGAGGCAAAATTTCAAACATGATGGTGAACTAGAAGTGAGGACTCTTAGCAACTGCTAGTCCAAAGATATATGAGCCACAGGAGGCTAACCTCTTGCACAGAGTTAACTTCCAGCTATACCATGTTTACTGGCTATCCTCAGTGATCAGCATCAAACAGTATACAGGACCCAGGTTAATGGTGCATCTTCTCTTCTGTTTTCTTTTAAAGGAAAACCCAAATATAAAGCTTCATGACAGCTAATATATTGACTGATCACACTTCTACACCATTTAATAAACAAAGCAATCTATTTAGTGACAGTAGCCATAGTGAACTTCAAATTCTCATCAGCTTTGTTGCCAAAAATGAAAGGAAAAAATATGAAAAAGCAGCAGAAAAGATCTAAAAAACAAATCCACCTTACCCCTGCGGCATCTGACAGGAACAACACATATAAAACGCTTGAATGACAGCACTCAGCCGGTTTGCTGTCACAGAAATAACATCCTGATAATCTGCATAAGCTTCTTGTGTATTGCCAGCTTCATACATTTTAGTGCCCCCTGTATCTGCAGAAAGTGCTTTGCTCTTTTCGGATGGAGCAACATCAAAAATATGGGTAGTGGTGCCATCTTGTTGATTTGGTCCTTTTTGCTTCAGTAAAATAGAAGTGATATTGGCAGAGCTCTGTTTGTTTTTCATCAGTTCTGCTGATATTAGAGCTAACCATTCATCTAATGAATGCCAGAGTAATTCCAGAGGCTGCAGAGCACAAAAAAAAAAACAAAGAAAACATGTGGGAAGACCCTTAGCTGAACATGAAGTGAACCGTTATGTATATTTGTAGAGGACAGCAATGAAATCATTACAATTCTAGTGTACTATACAATTCTAAATAAAACAAGATAGGACATTTCTGCAATTTACCATTTCTTCTGGCATACCCATCTATAAATGAAAATAGACTGTTTGAATAAAAACAAGCACAGGAATGCTGACAAAGTAGTTTTCTGAATTTTCATTAATATATTCTGAATAGTTACTATGCACACAGTTGTGGTAATCCCCAATGGTATAAAGTAACTTCCTTCAGTAGAAGGCCATAATGCTGCAATGCCATAGGAGATCCCACTCTTGCAATCTAAGATGCCACAGGATCTAGTCACCACCATGGGTGGTACAGAAGCAGATTCTACCCCTGTTCCATCCCATTTAGTAAACATATTTATACTATCAATAGACGAGCATACAAAATCACCAGTGACAAGGAGCAGCACAAGGAAGAGAGAGATTATAACTTAGGCTACAATGTCCCACAGCACAACTTTCAGTTCCCAGCATTCAGCAGAAAGAGTACCCAACGTTTCTTTTTTCATCCCTGAATAGAGTTCACATCAAGAATGCCACATAAAAATTTCTAGGAAAGTGAAAGATAAAAAGTACAAGTATTTCATTTATGTGTAAATAATTTATATATGAGAAAGTTCAGTCTTCACTGGCTAGAGAAGAAAGACATCCAACTAAGTCCTTCCTTATATCATCACACAAAGAATACAGCTATCTAGCTAGCTAGCAGACATGTCTTCTACATCTCAAAAAGATAACAGACAAAAAAATCATGCAAACATAGGAATTGGTAGTTTCTGTACAAATGACTAAGAACAAAATAAGAATTACCCAAAACTCATCTGTAAAGCAGACAGAATCTCTACTAAGTTTAACCACTTGAAAGAAGAATTCTTCAGCCACATTTTTGTGGTGTTATGGGTCTGTAAAGCAACACAACTTCAGATACTCTAAGTATTTCACTGCACACCTCAACGAAGCCCGCAGAAACAAGATAAATTTCAATACAGTGTGAATGCCTACCAGTTTTTGCAGCAACTTCTACAAGGATATACTCTTGACAATAGCAATGCAAAATCTGAGTTATTTAATGCCTAATCAGAAACACTATTTTCCATAACCCATTTACAGGAGAGATAACTCTACATTTTCCATTACTGCACCATCATGACACCAATTTATGATCTCTGGCAAGTCAAGCACTCTGAAACTCATCTTCCAATTTGACATATGAAAGCAATTGTGACCTTGTGAAAAAGTCTATAAACAACCCTTATTTATTCAAAGATGGTGTCAAAATGAGAAATACAAATATCACCATCCTCATCAAGCAAAGCCAAACTAACACTGTACTACATATTATGCCTCAAGCTGAAGATACTGATATTTCTAAGTAAACCTTTTAAAATTAAACTAATACGCAACAGTTAAATATAATCACGGCTTCCAGAACGGAACTCAACCAAATGGAGATTACAGGAACAGTATGCTGCCACATAGTCGGACGTAAGTGGTCATACCTTTCAAGGTCACTGTGCCTTTAACCAGCCATGCCCATCTGAAGAGAATCTGTCTCAAAGGTGCTCAGTTAGACATTAATGCAATACAGTCTTCAAGGCCTCTCTAAAATGTCTTTAAGCTGCCCTTGTTTTCCCATGTTTTGAAAAACTAAGCATACATTTTGTGCAAAGCAAGGTCTTCTGTTTCTCATCCTTTCTACCAAGCTACCTGAGCATTTTTAAAGAATCTATTATACACAAGGGCTTTTTTTTTATTGTAGATCCATTTACAGTCCCTGGGCTCTTAGGCACTCAAGAAGCAACAACTATTATGAGGACAGATACTGTAGTGCAGATCAAATATGGTCTCTCTTTTCTACACAAAGCATCACTCTAAATGAAGGGACAGCACAACCTTGATGAGTTTTATTTATCCTGCAAAAGACTAATTGGGCATAAACAGTGTATCATTAAATACGTGTTCAGTCTACATTACCAAATTTGACAATTTTATTTAGAGTCAGGAAGTGATTTGCCACAGCGGGTGGGAAGCAACAGTTGTTCTATTTTGTAACGCTATCATACTGTACTTAGTAGTAATGGTTGTATTAAGAATTTCTATGGTTGTTTTACCTGTACATTCCTCTGTGTCACTAAATGAAACAGAAGAAATGAGGAAAAGAGGGTTGATTTATGACATAGCCAATCATGGTAAAATATTAGAATCCTTTCAGGTACTAAAACACATAACCATCCCACCCATGCAGTTGTGATAGCTATACATTTCTCAGCTTCTTGAATGAGAAGCAACCCTCATGTCATTCAGCAAGTGTGTAGGTGTCCTTGTACACACAACGTATGATAACATTTTGCAACAAGGGAAGAGAAAGATCCAACATTAGAAAGGCCAAGAACCTGGCACCAAGGGTTCATTTCCATAGACCCACTATTACTGGCACATAACAATAAGCTGGAGTTACTGAAAAATGGCTTATGATTAGCAGGATGCTGGTGCATATTAATCACTCACTGCTAGCCTCCTCCCACCAGCAGTAACACCTTAAAAAAACAGGAAAACTTCAGCACTGGTTTCTTTAGCATGATGTCTAAACAGAAATTCCTGGCCTCTTGTTACAAGCCAGAATGTGAAGCCAGCTTTTGTTAGACCAGAACAAGCCAGGAATCCCTCTTTGGATGCAATGACAAACAAACCAGTGCTGGAGGCTTTCTAGCTTGCTTGGCCACTCCAGCCGGCAGAAGGAGACAAGGAGGAGCACAGGAACATAAGAATAGTCCTACTGGATAAGAAAAGCTCCATCCGCCACAGTGGCCAAACAGATGCCTAAAGGATCCCAAAGACAGAACAGACCTTCCCACTCAAGTTCCCCATCAAGTGCTACACACAGGCATAATGCCTTCAATCCTGGAAGAAACATGTAGCCATCAGCACTTGGAGTCACTGACAGCGTTTTCTCCATGAATTTCCCCAATATCCTTTTAAAACCGTCCAAACTTGCACCTTCACTATATCTGATAGAAACGAATTCTAATTCAGCTATGCAGCTATGTGATAAAGCACTTCCTTGCGCTGAATCTCCCATCAATCAGCTTCATGGAATGGTCCTGGGTCCTAGTATTATGAGAAAGGGAGAAATACTCATACATCTCACTCTGCACTTTCTTTACACCATGTATAATTCTTCACACCTCTATGATGTTTCCCCTTACTTGTCTCTTGTATAAGCTACACAATCACGGCTTTTATAACTTTTCCCCACAGGGAAGTTGCTCCCTGATCATTTTTGTTTTCTTTTTTGCACTTTTTCCAACTCTACAATATCCTTTTTATGTGAAGTGACCAGAAGAGTACCAAGTATTCTAAATGGAGTCACACCACAGATTTGTATTAGGAAAGTATATATTAGAAGTTTTATTTTCAATTCCTCTCCTAATTATACTCAAAAACACTTGTTTGTTAATGTTAAACCAAAATTCACAAAAATTCTGGCTCACAGTTACATGCAAACACTATCTGTATCTCCATAAGCGCAATACAGAAGTGTTCCTAAGAATAAAAAACACAGGATTTTCACAATGATTCCAAAAACAGCTACATTTGGGCAGAAGCAATGAAATTAACAAATCGACTATGCAGTCTTTAAAAACATCTTCAGACTACATAGGATGAATTGGAAAAATGAATGAAAAATATCTAGAAAAGCATGGTAATTGTTTATGTTTGCACTGAAATAAAGTGAAGATAAGGAGATGGTCCCAACCTGAAATGGGTATTAGCCAAACTTACATCCTCCTCATGAGATGCTTGATTAATGAATGCATGCTTTGTAAAATTCATCTCCTTAAGGTCTATCTTCCTAGTAACGTCAATTATTTTTCTGACCTTGAACACCTGACTTCTTGGAGTTTTATTTCCATTGTACCCCATGTCATTTCCATTATTAGGAGTGGATGGGCCAAGGCGAAAGACATGACAAAAAATCCTCACGATTCTCAACAGACTCTTCATTTGAGCTTCATAATTACTTGATAAGCTGGAAGAGAGAATATTAAATGGTTAGTGTAACAGGGGACTATCCTATGGTGTGGGTGAGAGTTAAAATATTAAAATTTGCTAAGTATCCATGATTCAGGGATCCATGCAGTCCAATTCCCCACTGACATATTAGCTCTGCTCTTCAGCTGGCCATATTCATTGCTCAGAAATCCAGTTTTCCACCAAACTGTACATTTTCTGGAAGGGAAATTAGACCTTGGGTGCCAGCTTCCCAAACAGCTATGCTCTGCTCTTCTTGCCAATGATGGGGACAGGAGAAGAATGTAACCACACCTGTCAGGCAGCTAAGCCTCCTTCAGTCTGAGGGCTGGGGGCCATGCTGAAGACACTCTTAAGGGCCACATTCCACCCATTCTTAGTGGATGGGACTAAACAACAGCAACAGAGCCAAAAAATGTTAGCAATTCTTAGTTTAGAACTCTTACTGCTAGTATCTTATGACAGACTTTTAAAACCTGTGTGGGGGGGTGGCATAAAAGTCAGGAAAGTGCCCTTAAACCAATGATCAGGGGAAGGGACTGGGGAAAGGCTATCTGGGGAAACCTCAAGATCGGGATCTCAGAGAAGCTGGAATGGGCCTGCAGGCTTAAGTGTGGGGAGAAGCTAAGAAGGCATCCTCCATATGCATAGATGCTACTAATACAGTGGCATATTAAACCCATTTTTTCTGCTTTGCTTTCTCTGGCAAACTGTAGCATCACCTCTTTCACATAAACTAAAGGAAGACAGTCCCAACAGCTTAGCTAGCTACCCTTCAAAGGTATTATAATGTAAGTTTATTGATGGTAGTATTCTATTCCAAGGAATAGAACAAGGAAAAAGGAAAACTAAGGAATAAATATCTGTGGTGATAACCCAATTACCTGAGGAGTTTATGACCATTTGTTGTAGCCACCTCAGCAAGGCTAGTCAAGATTTTAAGGTACTGATTTTCATTCTGCTGAGATAAGTGTTCTAAAACCTGTCGCAACTGAACAAAGAAAAGACCATTATTAAATTTTGATCATACTACACGAAAATGTTGAACTTCAGACTAATAGTAATCAATACAAAGTATGGCTTTCACCAGACTTTTTTTTAATAAAGTTATTTTTTAAAAAAATATTACTACATTTGTACCCTAATTCCTTTGCCTTGCAAGAAACCAAAAGTGGCTTACATCCTCCTCCTCCTCCTCTTCATTTTATCCTTGCATTAACTCTGTGAAGTAGGTTTGGCTGAGAGTCAGTAACTAGCCCAAAGTAACTCAGACTGATGGCCAAGTGGGGACTAGAACCCAGATCTTCTAGATCCCAGTCCAGCTACAAGTGGAGAAGACTTACTTGAGAATAAGTCATTGTGACTTACTTCCAAGTAAACATGCATAGGATCAAGCTACAAATATGCTCCATCGCAAAGATCTATAGACGAAAAAAGGGCACAGCTATTTCTAAGGAAAGCAACATTTGAGATTTTTAAGATTTGCTCTTAACATTTAAAAGATAACTGCATTTACCATGCTTTCTCTGAGTTCTTCATTTTGTGTCATCTGAATAATCGTTTGGAAAAGCCTAGGATGATACTGTATTAGAACTTCACATGTCTCTCCATAGCCACCCTGAAAAAGACAGTATTTTTAGGTGAGGAGCCATTCTAAACATATCCTTCAAAAATGGTCTATTGAGAGCCTTCTGGCTTAAGTGGACAGCCTCCACTGATACAAGAGCATTCTGTTTTAAGACAGTCACCCTCCATGAGTTGAGGGCAATGGCAATGCATGAAGACAATGCAGGGTTTTTTTCTTGTTGCTGTTCATCGCAGAGTCGTGTCCGACCCATTGCAACCCCACAGACAACATTCCTCCAGGCCTTCCTGTCCTCCACCATCCCCCGGAGACCACTTAAGCACTAGTTTGCTCTTAGTGACCTTCAATTTACAGTGTGATCCAGCTTTGAATCTGAATTTTATGTTTATGCTATTATGTAAAGCTTTGTTAGTGCAAGTGCACTGAACTCCCAGAGTGCCATTTGAAAATGGGTTATGCTATTAGTGGCTTGAACACAGGGTCTTGTGTATCTTTTTTAATGTTGGTCTACCATGTCTCTCTCAGACTAGGATTAGGTGAAATATACTTGAAGGCTGAACAATATGTACAAGTAATCTGTTATCTATCCAGGTGCAAGTTCTAAGATTTACTACTATATGACTTTAAAACTTACTTATTTTCAGTAACTACCTAGGTGTACAGAAGACAAAAATCCCTGCTCAAAGGCCTTTCCTCACACTGTGACTTTGTATATTATAATGAAATACTAACAGAGGATTCATAAGTGATTCATGAACACTCTTTCCCATCCTTGCAGGCTAATATAAGGAAAACAGCATGCCTCTCCCTGGGGTACCCAGTAGTTTTGTATCAGAAACATCACACATCTTGTCTGGGCAGGTGGGAAAGCAAAGAAGGGCTGCACCTTTTTCTTGTGAGCAGAAAGAAGATACAATAGCCACATGAGCATCTTCCATCAGCATTTGACATCCTCGGTCAGTAGACAAAGAGTATAATGGCACCAGATGTGTTTTAAGCAAAACATGCAAAACATATAAACTTGTAGTTAGTTTGTACCTGTACACAGAGATCAAGTGGTGTGACTCCATTTTTGTCTGGCAAATATTTGGCTCCTCTCATCAGAAGGATCTGTGCAGTGTCTCTTTGGCCATGGCTATATGAAGCACAGAAAGTTATTAGACCTGTTCAGTACATGCATTACATTTTGATACTGCCAAATAGCCAAAGCTCTCTAGGCAGTTCACAAAAATTAAAACCTTTAAAATATACTATAAAACCATACATATATACATGAACATACAACACACAAAGGTACTTGCATATCTAAAACATTTTAAAAGAAAAAGTCAAGTTTAGTTTAAAAACTTCACCATACGCTGCCAACCGCCTAAGAGAACAAGATCTTAACCAGGCATCAAAAACAGAGTAATGTTGATACTAGATAAACCATGTTGGGGGGATCATCACTGGCAACCATAATCCAAAAAAAAAGCCCATTCTCACTTGCTGTTGCCTTCCGAGCCTTCTTTGGAAATGCAGTCCCAAAACTTGTAAGGTCTACAGGTCCTTAACGAGCACTTTCATTCAGACTCACAAACACACATACAACCAGTGCAGGTAGGACAGAACCAGACCTTCTGTTCCCTGTTACCAATGTGGCTGCCATGTTTTGCATAAGTCGCAGCTGCTGAACCACTGTCAAAAGGCAATGCCACATAGATCACATTGCAGTGATCTTGTTTACAGGTTACCAGAACATAGGCAATGGAAGCCAGTTTATCCCTGTCCAGACCGAGACATAGCTGGGCCACCAGCTGAAACTGGTAGAAAGCACTCCATGCCACAAGGGCCACCTAAGCTTCAAGTGACAAATATGGCTTCCAGGAAAACTCCTAAGCTATGAAGTCACTCTTTTGTGGGGAACTCCCCCCAGAACAGAGTGAACACTCACCCTCTGTTCATTGGCCCTAACCATTGTCTGGATTGAGCTTTAGTTCTCATCTAGTCCCTTGTTGCAGGTACCTATCTAGCACATCTTACTTGATGAAGAGGATGAAAAAGAGAACGGCATGTCATTAGCATCTTGATAGCATATACCAAAACTCTGGACAACCACACTCAATTGATCTACGTATAAGATAAAAAGTATTGCAAGAACAAAACCAACCCCTACAGAACTCCATATTGTAGAATCTATGAGGCTGAGCACCAAGCATGACCTTCTGAAGCTAACCATCCAACTACAAATGAAACCAGTGCAGTGAAATTCATCTTAGTCCCAACTCAGGCAATTGCTCCAGGATACCATGGTCAATGGTATCAAACGCTGCCAAGAAACCAAAGCCCATCAACAAGTTCATACTTCCCCATCTCTCTCCTGACATAGTCATCACAGGTTGTTTCTGTGCCAAAACCCAGTATGAACCCAGCTAAAATAGATCAAGATAGTTTCACTAAGAATGTCTGGAGCTGGCTTGACATCAACTTGACACAACTTTGCCCAAAGAAAGGAAAACTTGCCAACAATCTAAAATTACTAAGATTTTCTGGGTACAGAAAGGGCTTCTTCAGGAGTGCTCTCATCACCACCTGCTTCATGTGACCCAGCACCACTCTTCCTCACAGATGGTCAAATTCCTGTTCCTCCCTGCCAGTTTTTACACACCAAAAGGAGCAAGGATACAATACAGAAGTGGTTGCACGAACCTCAGGTGCTTTGCCAGTGTTCTCAACTGAATCTTATCCAGGAAAACTGGACAAGGCTGACCGGATTCACCTGCTATAAAACTGGAGTCTAAGCTCTGACAAGATTTTGTCCTTGAAGCTACTAGCAAATGTATTACAGTAGGCCTCAGGAAGATCAACAGTATTCTTAGGGCCAACATGCAATGGACCCTGGATACCTTGAAAATCTGCAGCACATAAAAGATACACTGGAGGAGGCAAGATACTGTTTCTTTGTTGAATATATATATGTGGCCACAGATCCCACTATCACTCAGCTGCATTCACTGGAAGTAGTTTTCCTCATCACTCCCAGCTCTGGAACACACTACAAACCAATACTAGCTCTGCTGTGGAAGGGGTGCTCAGGAGCAGTTCTGTCAACTGCCCAAGTTATTTCTGCAATCTATAGATAAGCTAAGATTACAGCAGAAGAACCAGCCATATCAGCCAGAAACCTCCCCAATGCCCTCTGGAAACTAACCAGATCCATTTGCTTCCAGAGGTGAACCATCTAAACAGCTTTGCATACAGGAAAAGCTGCCATAATAATGTCCTGCCACAGCCAACCCCTCCTAGAATCTATTAAGTAGTTCATGAACAAAACAAGGTATCCTAAGGGCATCTGACTGAAGATTCCTTAGAATGTTGTTAATACAGAAGCAGAAAGAGGGGAAAGGTACGTGACTCATGCTTTCTCTTTCCATATTTCTAAGTCTGGCATGAAGTGGAAGATGATTTTTCACCTATTACAGTAACTTAGAAGCAGAATTCACTTGCGTTTCTTGCCTTACTACTTTTATAGCATGTGCAAAGCAACTCCAATATAGGTGTCTATTTTGTTCACAATGTGATTCAAGTCATACAAGACCTAAACTGCACTGAGACTTGGAATATTAGTATATCTATCATCACAGGTAAGAACCTGAGCACTGGGGATCCAAGAACAATTTCTTACCATTTCCAGCTGGCCACTGCATTACCCCTGTCAGCCTTACTAACCAGCTATCCATCCTGACTTTGGTTTGGGTAACACACCTTCACTGGCAAGGGACTGAAGAAACGTCAGAGAGCATACATGTGTATATAAGCAACTGTGTTTTATTAGGGACAAACAAAAAGCTTTTTTAATTATTGGTCTTTAAACCATATTTAGTTTGTGTAACCACAAATACGAACTGAAGGATGATGAGAAAGGGCCATAGCTCAGCAGCAAAACTCAGCTTTGCATGCAGGAGGTTTCAATAGTAACCCCCAGGATCACTAGCTGAAAAAAAACCATTTGGCAGGTCTGGAAGATCTCTCTGCAAAAAACCACTCTGAATTGGAACACGTAATACTGCCCTATATGAAAGTAATTTCATATGTTCAAGAAAACAGAGTAATTTCTTCAATTTCTCCAAGTTATCCAGTGGGCTTTGTGGTTAAGAATGGATCTTGCAGGCTTTGTCCAACAATCTTCCCATTTACTCATAAGGTTATGAATTTAACGTCATATATTTCATATAAGAGTCTGAAAATGAAAAAAGTCATACCTGCAAGCAAAGTAGAGTGGAGTTGCTCCTGAAACATTGGGCCTGTTAATATCTGCACCACTGTCTAAAAGACACTGAACTGTCTTTTGGGAAAAAAAGGATTGAACAAAGTAAATGTATGTTTGCAACCACCATCCTATTCCCACTCACCTGGGAGTAAGGTGCCCTGAACTCAAGAGGACTTACTTCTGAAGAAGCATGTATGGGACTGTACTGTCGGCCTCTCTTCAGTTACCAAAAAAGTTTCATATTCAAAGAAATCATTTTTTTAATCCAGCTCAGCCAAAGTATTTCATTTCTTGCTCTCTCTACTCCCTCTAAGCTCTTTTTTTTTAAGTTCAATAGCAAATGTTTGCCATTTCATAACACACATTGTATTTAAAAGGACAATAAATGAATTCTGAAGAAGGTCATATAGAAGGTCATTCTATATGGATACATATATTGTATTTAGGTTCAATTAGAGACTGAACTATGAATGCCTAATATAATCTTTGTAGTTTAATTTTTGTACAATGCAGGCAAGAAAGAGCACTGCACTTTTCAAATGCATTTTATATACTGCAAGATGTTTTGTAAGGGTATAGCCCTGAATGCATCTCTCTCTCTCTCTCTCTCTCTCTCTCTCTCTCTCTCTCTCTCTCTCTCTCTCTCTCTCTCACACACACACACACACACACACACACACACACACACACACACACTAAAATTAATATATTCCTAGGTAAAATCAAAAGATTCAACATTCTCACAAGAACAAGCAACTATTTCTTGATAGTATGATCAGCTGAGATTCAATAATAGATCAAAACTCTTGATTTTTCCTCTCAAAATAGACTTCTTTACCAGCATCCCTGATTAATGACAGTTCTGTTATTTAGCCTACCGTCTTGTGGCCATTTTGGCATGCCACATGAAGTGCTGTCTGCCCCATTGCATCTTCAACGTCTACATTGGTAACATGCTGTACAAGATCATGAAGCAATTCTGTTCGTCCATTAACAGCAAGCCAATGGATCTAAATGCACGAAGTGATGCGGGGAAGACTATAGTCAGTAAATAATTACATGTTGTAAGTTACTGCTCAGTGCAAGAAACTGCTCCCTGGAAAGTGGGACCACTGTCTCACCATCTTCCATATCTTCATTTCATTGGTTAGCAGTCACAAGTTTAAAAGACAGAAAGAGCATGCAAATTTTAAAGGCAAGACTGGTGATGCACAGCAAAATTTTATTATTTAGCCAGTATTTGTGCAAAATTATTAAACATTCATATCTGAGATTAAAAAACACTGGACAACTTATACAGAAGTGAAAATATAAGGAAAGTGGATCTTAACTGAAAAAAAATATGTTTTCATGCTTGTTTCACCAGTCTGTCATCACAGATGATGTTACTCAGATGTCACATGCCAGACCAAATGTTTAGAATTAAGTCACTATGCTATACAGCATTTAAGTGCAAAGTCCAGTGTATTTGTGTGCACGCATGTGCATGTGTGTGTGTGTGTGTGTGTGTTACTTGTTATATAACAATTTGAGTACAGCAATTCAGAATGAACAGCTAGTACCACCATCTCCAGTGGGCAAGATGTGTGGTTTTCATTAAACAGTGAGGACTACCAGGAAAAGGCCAAGCAGTGAAATATGGAAACAGTGGAGTATTTATACAATTGGAGTGCTTAAAAAGAAAGTGATAAGAACAAAATTACAGGACTTACTGCTGTGAGGCCTTCATTATTACAAATGTTGACATCAGCACTATATTCCAGTAGTTTGCTCATACATTTCTTCTGGCTGTGTAGAAAATAAATATCAGTCATGAGTCCGATAAAACAAGACTTCCTCAACTATTCTCTTCCTTTCTTAGGACTGGTTTATAGATTTAGCAGATAACTGTTCCTCTAAAGCACACACACAGCCATTAGGCACCCCATACTGTGGTCTGAACATATGAAAGCTTAATTTACTTGATCACTGTCATTTTAAAATATTACACAATTCAACTTCTGCACAGCATTCTCTACACGTTACGCCTGCCTCACATGTACATTCCCTGTATGATGCACATCAATATGCAAAGAAGCTTCTGTGCAAGACTGCTGTGCTATGCGTATCTACACAGAAATGCAGACACCCCCAGCTAAGTCTGTATAGGACTGTAGGCTAAGGGCACACCCTTATGCATGTTTGAACAGAAGAAAGCCTTACAACTCCCAGCATTCCCTAGCCAGCATGGCTGCTATGGAATGCTGGGACTTGTAGGATGTTTTCTGGCCTAGACAAGCATAGGTTTATGCTCTAAGTGTATGAATTAGATTTCAAGCCACTTATTTGCAAGCTGGGTTCTGAAGTCATAAATTCCAATTCCACATAACCACATAAATTCTACTTGAATGCTCCTCTTGGACAGTCCAAGAAGAGTCCAGAAAGCCATTCACATTTAGTATTCCCAGGTTTTTCCATGCAAAGAGCAACAAGAGCATGTGCAGACTAGCTCCCAGCTAAAATTAATGGGAAAGCTCTTTCACAGAGAAAGATTGCTGTACCCTTCAGAGATCCTATAACTAGAACACGTCTCACAGCCTTGTTGTTGCAACTTCCCAGCACTGCATTATCTCTCAGGGATGCAGACACAGAAAGTGTATTTCTAGACAAGGCTTCTATTGTGTAATCACACTGCCTTATTAATGGAATTTTATAGGCAGCAGACAGATCCAGACAGTGATCTTTGATTTCCAACTCTCTCATATTTATTTATTTATTTAGAAAATTTCTATGCCACCCCATTTGCCAAAGCCTCGGGGTGGTTCACAAAAAACTTCCCACTGATTCTCCATCTTTTCTCTCACCAGAAAAAAATCCATTAAGAATAGCTGCATGATGTCTTTGGATTGTTAATGATAGCAGCTCTCCAATTAGAAATGTCCAAAGGTCTTCTAAGTACTGCTAGACAACTGGAGGGCCTGTGGCATGGTAGCAACTTCACAGAACAGGAATTGGAGACAAGCATGCATATAAAGCTATCTCATACTAAGTCAGACTATTGGTTCATCTAGCTAAACTGACCGGCAGTGACTCTCTGGGCAAGAGTCTTCCAAGTCTACATGGAAATGATGAATATCATAACAAGGACCATTTGAATGCAAAGCATGGGCTCCACCACTGAGTTATGACCCTTCCCTTTACTATACATGCAGTTTACCAGATGAAAACACATTATCACTGAATATTAAACTAGTTTACATGGGTTCCCCTTATTTTCTTTTTATGAGGTTGTGATCCTAGGAATGTGTATTTGGAAGTAAACGCTACTGAACTCAGGAAGTGTATGTGGAAGGAAATACTGACTTCAGTGTATCTTACTCCCATGTAAGTGCATATAGGAGTGCAACCAAAGATTTTAAAGAGTTTCTTTTTAATAATCATTATTATTAATTTATGAACTATCACAAGCTAATTCACAGTCAAGCTGGAAGACATGGAAATAAAATTGTGAAAAATAGGCTATAGAATATTGTTTAAAATTTGTTTTTTCTATTTAAAAATGTGCTACCCAGAATCACTTTTCCAATGCTTTCTTTTAACACTTAACTTGATTAAAATATCTAATAAACTTTTCTTTATATTTTATTTTGGCATATTTTAATGCATGACACCAACTATATCCTTAGATTTAATCTGAACAGCAGTTTAGTCTGTATGCTTCCAGGTCTCAAAAACAAAACAAAGCAGACCTACTTTGTCTCATGTTTTAGGCCTTTAGTCAGATCTACATCATACCCAGAGAGTGAAAAAATAACATACTAGACCAATGTGGCAAGCATGGCTGCTCCACATAACCTCTTTATATCATCTAAGCTTCTCTATGGTTCCTATTCAAATCTTACTAAATGACCAGAGGCTGCATCGAAGGTTCTTATTTAATTTATTTAACCTCTCAGGAGTAAATAACTAAATATAATAAGTACCTCTCTTACCCATTTCTGGCAGCCAAATGAAGTGGAGTACATCCAGAAATATCTTGGTAGTTGGGGTTTGCACCCTTCTTTAACAATAGAACTAAGCATTCAACTGACCCACAACTGGAGAAAAAAGTAGAAAGATCTTAACAAAAAGTCAAAGGAACTTAAATAGAAAATTATAATTTCCAGAAAAAAACAATAATTACCATGCAAACTTCAAAAATATAGCTTAAACAGTCCACAGAATTTATCCATATACGCCCGCCCGCCCCTTGAGATCTGCGGGAGAGGCCCTTCTCCGGGATCCCTCCGTGAAAGAAATTAGGAGGGTAGGTACTCGGAGGAGGGCTTTCTCTGCGGTGGCGCCCAATCTATGGAATGCGCTCCCCAGAGAGGTCCGCCTGGCGCCGTCATTATTTGTTTTTTGGCGCCAGGCGAAGACCTTTTTATTCAAACGTCATTTTAATTGTTAATATTATTTGCTTATTTTATCTGGCCAGGGCGACTTATTTTATATTGTTAATTTGTTTTATGTATTATATTTTATGTTGTGAGCCGCCCCGAGGCTTCGGCGAATGGGGCGGCATAGAAATGTTTTAATAAATAATAAATAAAATAAATTTGAGGTTTCCATTTTTACAGTACTTTAATTGAAACATGAAAAGCAGAGCTAAACACATTAAAAATTAGCACATATTTAGTTAGATGGATTGTTTGCTGAAGTTTATTATTTTGTCTCCAGTCTGATTGTCAGATTAAATGTGATGGGGAATACTGATGAGCACAGACTTTGTCCATGTAATAATACTTAAGCTCAGAAGACAGAAACTCTCTCCATAAACAAAAATTGCAGTCTTTCCAGTGCACCGTTACTCTCCAGTACTTTCACCATTACAGGCAAAAAACTAAATAAAAATTGAAAACACATTTCTTCAGCAAAGATGTAGATCTTTGTAGATGTAGATCAAAGATGTAGTAATAAAATCTTTATTATTGCAGTATTCCCTAGACTTTTAAATGTTGTCTTACTTAGCTGCGATATGAAGCAAGCTCCTCTTCACTCTTCCAAATGCGTAATTGACATCAAACTTTGAATTTGACAGCAGCTCTGAGACAGATCTAAAATAAATTTAAGTTAGCAAAAAACTGTATTTTCAGTTACTTTATAATAGCAAATTGATGCCATATATACTACAGAGGGAAAAAAGTAAAGCTAACTTACCACATGGTTTAAACATGGATAACAAGCTGAAGCCTAACAGTCTCACTGGGAATTCTTGCAAGTGGGGCGATCAGATGAAAAAGAGGACAATGCATCTGTGTAGGGCTGTAGCCTGTCATACAAAATACAGCTGGATGCCCCACTTGCAAGTAACAAGCTTAGAACTCAGTTTTAAGTTCTCAACCATCAGAGAATATATGTTTATCTTCATCAGAGAAATCAGGAGTATATTGTTCTGAATTCAAAACTCATCATATGCTGGGTAACTGGAAAGAACTATGCAGTTCTGACCCCTTGCCAATTATGCAGCTTTATTTGATTATCATTCTCATGAATAATAATTACTCCATTTTAGAGAAGCATCACAAGAGAAACTCACATTTATTTAACATTAATGTTTCTTCCAAAACTTAGCCCAAAGGCCCTTTCAAAAATTGTTTAGATCATAAGCAAAAGCAATCAATGGCCCTAATGTTTTTTCACGACTATCCTTGATTTAGATAGACTGAAATTATTATTATATTTATATTCTGCCTGTTCCCTATACTGGGACTGAAGGCAACTTACACCATTAAAATGTATACAATTAAAACATAGAAATACACAAAAGTTAAAAATATAATAAATTTGAAGATCATTAAACTCATATAAGATACTGAAATTAAAAACACTAAATATGTATAGAATACAACTCAGTCCAAGGCAACTTTACAGGTCCTCACTATTTCCAATGGTCTGACAGAAAGGTTTTACGTGCCTCTAAAAACACAACAGGAAGGGTGCCAATCTGGCCTCCCTTGGGAGGGAGTTCCAGAGCACTGGGGCACCTTGTGAAGGTGGTGGGCCTAAAACAAAAGTTCTTTTGCAGGATCATAAGAGAGAATGCAGTCTTTCGGATGGCCCGGACCCAAGCCATAGAGGGCATCACCAGCATTTTGAATTGTGCCTGGAAACAGAGAGGGAACCAGTGCAGTTCTTTCTGCAAAGGAATTATGTGCTTCTTACAGTCAGCCCCAAGAAACAGTCTCTGAAGCTGTTTACAAACACTTTTCAGAAGCTGCCCCACATACAACACATTACAATGTTATAGTAATCCAAATGGGATGAAGTGCAGGCATGTGTCCCCACAGCCAAGCCAGACATCTCTAAGCACAGGCACAGCTGGAACACTAGTTGTAACTGTACAGATGCATTCCTGGCCACCACCAAAATCTGAGCATCCAGGCTCTGAGTAGAATTAAGGTGCAGACCAGTGTTGTTGGAGGAGTGCAACCCCACCTGGCATAGGTTGCACCCCTTCCAACTGACCAGGAACACCTCTGTCTTATCTGAATTAAGCTTCCACTGGTTTCCTCTCATCCAGTCCATATCAGCATACTGGTGACACCAAAACTCCGGACAACTCTCCCAACAGTTTCATCTCTCTGTAAAAACAGCATGCTGAACAAGACCAGACACTGAGGAAATCCACAGTCCAGCAGCCAGGGAGTTGAACAAGTGTTTCCCAACACCCTCCTCCGGATTTGCCACTCCAGGAAAGAACTGTGCCACCGTAATGCCCAAAATGCCCATTCCAGCAAGGTGGTGAAAGAGGATACTGTGGTCAATAGTATTGAAAGTAGCTGAGAAGACCAGCAGAACCAAAAGGACATATTGCCCTGTCTAATTCCCAGCTTAGGTCATCTACCGAGGAAACCAAAGCTGTTCACCTCTCATAGCCAAGTTTGAAGCAAGACCGAAATGGCTCTAGATGCTCCACCTCATCAAAGAATCTGGGCAGCCAACACATGCTCTAATACCTTGTCTGAAAGTGGGATACCAGAGACTAGCCAATAACTATCTATTACAGTGGGATTCAGGGAGGGCTTTTTTCCATATCGAACTCACCACTCCCTCCTTCAGGCAGGGTGGCATTAACCACACCCCACATCCACTCAGGCACTCTCCCTCTGGCTCCTTTAATGGACAAGGAACCAGAACACACACTGTGACTCTCACCTCTCCAATGATCCTGTCTAAATCCTTAGGCAGCAGAGATTGAAAAGTATGCCATAATGCTCGACAAGCAGGAGCCACTGGGACCACAGCAACTACATTCAAGCCAAAGTGGATCTCAGCAATCGTGTCTGCAAAGTCCTGAGCAGTGGGCCACTGAGCAGGTTTTTATTTATTTTATTTATTTTTCGATTTATATCCTGCCTTTTTCCTACAACGGGCTCAAGGCAGCTTACATCTCCTCCATCTTATCCCCACAACAACAACCCTGTGAGGTAGGTTGGGCTGAGAGAGTCTGTTACTGGCCCAGAGTCACCCAGTTGGCTCCATGGCTGAGCGGGGACTAGAACCCAGATCCTCTGAGTCCCATGCTCTTAACCACTACACCACACTGGCTCTCAGTGATGCCTTCTCTTGCAGGTCAGGGTATAAAAGACACTGAAGAAGAAAGGTTTTCTGAAGACTCACCTGTGCTGGTCAGCCATTACCATTGGCATTAAAGTGTAGACTGCAGTTTCATTATCTGCATAGAAATTAAATGATATTTATGTTGCGATATGAGACATACATAACTGCAATATTCTGAAGTATATACAAAAACTCCCCACATACAGGAGCATCAAGGTTTGACTGTGGCCAGTGAGAGATCTGTCAAATAAATCAATTTACTTGAGTCTACCTGATTCCATAACTAACATTCTTAAGTCCAGAGATGACTACAGAATGAAATTATAAAATTAACAAGAGAGAAGTAAAAATGGCAAAGCTATCCATCAACAGAAATAATCTGAATACAGATAAGATCTGTGAAGCTAATACTTGACATGGATCCTCCCCTTTTCAGACTACGTCATGGCAGCTATGCCATGGGGTACCACAGGGCTCCATTCTATCCCCTCTGCTATTTAACATCTATATGAAACCGCTGGGAGAGGTCATCAGGAGGTGTGGGCTGCGGAATCATCAATACGCTGATGATACCCAGCTTTACCTCTCATTCTCCACTAATCCAGGTGAGGCAGTGGCTGTGCTGAACCGGTGCTTGGCCGAGGTAAGGGAATGGATGAGGGCCAATAAACTGAAACTCAACCCAGACAAGACGGAGGTCCTGTTGGTTGGCGGATCGGGTTTCGGAGAGGGTGGATTTGACCTGGTCCTGAATGGTGCAACACTCCCTCTTAGGGATAAGGTCCGCAGCTTAGGTGTACTCCTCGACCCGGAGCTTTCTTTAGAAGCTCAGGTGACAGCGGTAGCGAGGAACGCCTTCCTTCAGCTTCGGCTGATTAATCAGCTGCGCCCCTACCTGGAATACGACTGCCTGGCGACGGTGACACACGCGCTGGTGGCTTCCCGCCTAGACTTCTGTAACGCGCTTTACGTGGGGCTTCCCCTGAAGACAGTCCGAACACTTCAATTGGTGCAAAATAGAGCTGCCAGGTTGCTGACGGGGACGGGGCGTTATGCTCACATGACTCCAGTCCTCCATCAGCTTCACTGGCTTCCCATTGAAGCCCGGGCCCAATTCAAGGTGTTGATTATGACCTACAAAGCCCTAAATGGCTTGGGTCCTGGCTACCTGCACGAGCGCTTACGTCCGTATATGCCCGACTGCCCTTTGAGATCTGCGGGAGAGTCCCTTCTCCGGGAACCCTCCATGAAAGAAATTAGGAGAGTAAGTACCCGGAGGAGGGCTTTCTCTGCGGTGGCGCCCAACCTATGGAATTCACTCCCCAAAGAGGTCCGCCTGGCACTGTCGTTACTGGTTTTTCGGCGCCAGGTAAAGACCTTTTTATTTAAACATCATTTCAATTGTTAAAACATATGATCTGGCCTGGGCAACTTCTTCTTCCTTCTCTTTCTCCTCCTATATTTTTATTTTATACTGATAATTTTAATTTTGTATTTGTAAATCAATGTATTTTTTGTATTGTTATATTTAATGGTAATTTATTATGTACTATTGTATTTCAATGTATTTTATCATGTTGTAAGCCGCCCCGAGGTTTCGGCAAGGGGCGGCATAGAAATGTTATAATAATAATAATAATACCCACTTTTAAACAAATGAGAATATGTTCAGAGGATTGCAGGAGTGCAGCCTGAGTCACTTAACAAGTATTGTGTACATGCAGTTAGTACATGCTTCTAGTAACTGAGAAATAAGACTTCCTCTTTCATCATTTCATTTTTAGAGTCATCACAGCCCAAGGTGTGTATGTTTTATGCTCACCACAAACAAATACACACTTAGCCATGTTACTCAACCAGGCTAACATCTGAAAGGGATGAAGAATCTGAACAGGTATGAAGACAATAAAACTAAAGGAAGCTACAATGTGCATATGCTGAATTACATTATCCCCTTGCCTAGAAGTCCCTGTTATACAAGCCTCTATTTCCTTGAACACCTCTACAAGGGAATAAAATTTAAACAGTTTTATTTTGGTCACTACTGAATACAGAAGCTGTGCTAGCAGAACCCCTATTTTTCTTTAAGCTACTTGGCAAAAAGGAGGGGAGCTGCTGGTTTCTAGGGTGAGTAATGCTAGCCTGCTGACCAGAAAGCCCTTCTTCTTAAATGCATATAACTTGTTAACTACTGCTGAAGGAAAATGAGTCTGCATATTCTCAAAAACCCATTTTATTTATGGGAGCTGTAGAACAGAATGAGTTGCTCACCACTGATCTAAATGTGTACACACATACCCTATCTAGTACACTATTCTTCTGTTGACTGGCAACAACTCTCTGTGGCCTAAAACAGGAATGGGCAACCCTGGGTCTAAACTCATTTGGCCCTCAGCTTAATTTCAAAAGCCTTTAGCAAACAGTAAGTTCAGGCCTGGCAAGAGCAAGTAGTTCCCCACTTCCCCAGGCAGGGAGTGATAGAAGACTAAAGGGGAGAAAACGGTTCAAGAGTGGAGACTTTTGCCTCTGGTCCTGCCCATCTGATAGACTGCCCCCAGGGAATACAACCCTTCAGAGAGCTTTGGCTGTTGATCGGTATAGAAATCAAGTAAGAAAATTCAATGCAAATAAGGTTTGGCATTCATTGGATGTATTCAGTCCAAGGCCTTTTGTATGCTTTGCATAGGACCTATCACTTAGCTAAGGCCCAATTTCACAAGAACTATGGGTAAAGCATGGCAGTAAAAACAAACTCCAAGTCTAAAACTTGGTAACTGAATGGAAGAGAATCATATTGGAAAGTGCATCCTTGCTCCAATTCCCAGCTGCTATTAATCCTCACGTGAGTTTGACACACACACACACACCCCTCAACTATTCAGCCACAGATCACCAACCAGAACCAATAGCAAAGCTCATACCAGAAACAGGATCACAAAAGGAGTTCAGATCATGTGCCGACTGCGATTCCTTTATCCGCAAGTAATAATTACTCCAAAATTGCAAGGATTTTGGAATTAGAGGCAAAGAATTCCAGACTGGAGACTACACCTGGCAGGTAGCCTTGAGTAGTAACTCTCGATTTAATGCAATGGTCCCAATTCTCAAAAGTTGACGTTGCTGCTAATTACATCCTCACGCCAAGCTTCGCCTAGTCCCAGCTCTTCCCACGGTCCTAACTGGCCCTTGCCCCTCAAAATGCCCTCCCACGCTCAGGTTCCCCAAGTCACCCTACACGGGAGACTTCCAGGGCCACGGCCTCTTCCCACGCCCCTTACGAGGCACGCGGACACCGAGCCCGGACTGCACAACCCCCTTGGCGTCCTGCTCTCACCCTCGGGTAGTTCGACGGTGCGGGCACGGCGCAGGGACCGGGTGAGACGGTTGAGCTGCTCCATGGCTCTCTCCATCCTTGGCGGGGAGAAGCCGCCGCCCCGCGCCCGCAGCAGCGGCGACTGGCAACAAACGAACCACAGCCCGCAGAGGCTCCTCGAAGAGCCGCCAGGAACACTTGATCTTCAGTACGCATGCGCCAAAGTTCCGAGCCAGGAAAGTCATAGAGCTGAGAAAAAAGGATGGGCATGCTATCCAAAGGCGCATGCTCAGAGAGATCCCGCCGTTTGAAGTTAGCTTCCGCCCTTAATTTGCCCGTACGCTCCAAGACTTAGGGTGGAATGCGTTTATATAAACTAAAGATTGAGAATTCACTTGCCGACCTGCGCCTCAAGTATGCATTATTAAAGGCTCTTTTTTAATCTAGTGTTTGCCTGTTGATACCGCTTTTTCCGGTCTATACCCTCCCAAACAGGCTCAAGCTTTTAATTCTGGGGTCGTATCGTAGCACAATACACGACGAAAAAGGATTTAAAAGTTAAACACGCCAGTTGAATGAAAGCGCCTAAACTTGCAGCGCGATCCTGTGTTCAGAGGTAAAGACCTTAGAATTCAACGGGGCTTACTCTCAGGTGTGCATAAGATGAGAGCCACAGCTTCACTACGTAGAAAAACTTTGTCCATTTATCGTACCATATTCTAGTATTTGGAGTCTCGGGGATAACGATGCTTGGATTTATCAGCAAGAAAAGGCCCCTTCCGTTCCTAACAGGTTCCCGAAAAAGGTCTCTGCTGTTCAAGATGGATACCAGGATGTCTGTGGTCCTTGCTTTACTGACATGGGGACAGCCGTTTGTACATGCCCAGCAGTTTGTACATACGCTATTATTTCTTATAGTACTGGCAGTGACCTGAGTTTAAAGCAAAATTCTGGTTAGGCTTGGTTTACAAATGCTAGTCTCAGTCCTTACTGTGTTTAACTGGATGGTATGTACATCCTGAAGCATGTATCTGTCATGTGCACATATGATATAAAAGGTATAGAGCAGGCATGAGTCGGCTTTAGTAAAGAAAAGCAATTCCTGTTAAACTGTGGCTGAGCAGGAAACTTGCAACTTGACAAGCAAAGAATCCAGCACTGGTATAGAAACAGTGAGTCAGAAGGGACCTCCCAAGCCATCCAATCTGACCCCTGGCTCCAGTCAGCTCTGCTCATGGCATGCCTACTATGTCAAGCGTGTCCTTGAACAGCCTCATCAATGGGGCTTCAACCACCCCCCATGGAAACTTCCAGATTTCAGGAAATAATATGGGGGAAGTGGGAAAACAGACTGAGGCTAGGCATAACGAGTACAGTCACGAGTCTGTTCTGCATTCATTCCAGACATACCATTGCCTTCATGAGCCTTGACAGTGGGGAGGAGAGCTCTCTTTTGGTTTCAGGAAGAAATCAGCTGTTCCCAGTACTGATAAGTATTAATTTAATGGCATAGCCACACAAAAACTTTCCCATCCTCCATCCTCAGGAAAATGTTTTCATTTGAAATAAGGATTGTTCTTTTAAAAAAATACTTTAAAGTAATAAATGAATAAATCACATACATATTTCAATTCATTGCTATGTATGCTAGATGTATACTGCTCATTTGTTACAATTATTTATATTTCATCTTTAAAGATCTAAATTGTTCCAATTTAACTTAAAATATAACAAAAGGATATCCTAATAAAATCACAATTCTAAAATTTAAATATAAACTGTATTAAAATAATAAAATATCATTCTCCTGCCCGTTTGGGAAGGGCATGTGCAGATGAAATAGGCTTTGAAGTGGTCTTTACCAGCACTCTGTCCCTCCCTTCCCTACTATCCTGGAAATTTTCCTCCAGGGTAGTTAATCCATGGTAATGGTTCATTATTTCTGTGCAGTATATGAATTTCCTATAGCCTTTCATTCCTCAGATATAGTGATTTCCAAAACATATAAACCAGTGGGGAAGCCATAATCCTGTCGATGCCACCAGATTCCAACTCCCACCAGCCCCTGCCAGCATGTCCAGGGATTATTGGAGGTCCAATCCAACAACATCTGCAGGGCCAGCTAAGTTTTGCTTTCCCCCACCACAGGAGATATTCAAAGCAGCTAACACTGTACAACATGGGTCCTCAAACTACGGCTCAGGGGCCAGATCTGGCCCGCCATGCCCATTTATCCAGCCCGCCATGCCCATTTGGACCCACCACGGACGTGCCCACACGCACACCCGCCGCCACCCCCCCTTGCCTCGCATGTGGGGAGGCAGCAGTTTGCTTGCTCAGAAAAAACTATCTCCAAGCAAGCAAGCCTCTGCCTCGTGCGCCCGCCTCTCGGTGCGTGCCTGCCCCTGCCTCGCCTTGCTTCCCCTTGCCGCACGCACCCACCCACTCCTCACCTCGCCGTGTGCCCCCACCCGCACGCACCACCCCTACCCCCTTGCTGGTCCACGCACACAGCCAGCACCACCTTTCAACTGGCCCCCTGGTGAAAAAGTTTGAGGACCCCTGCTGTTCAACAAATCACGGGAAATACAGAAACAATATTAACCCCAATAAATTAAAATAATAAAAGAACAGGTCACCAGATGAAAGACAGCATAAAATGAATTCAGCTGAACTATGAGATAGTAACAGAAACAGCAACAAAAATAAAGGCTTGCTGGAAAAGACTAGTCTTCAAATGCCAGAAAAAGCCAAATGCTGATCAACCAAGTTCTTGGGACATGAATTTCCATATACGGGATGCAGCCACCAGAAAGAACCCCTCAGTTGTTGTCACCAGTGATAACTCACATGGACAGGACATGTGTAGAAGGGCTGCAGGGACTGATTTGGAAGGATGGACAGCTTACAGTGAGAAGTAATGGTTCATCAAGTACAGTGGTACCTAGGCTCTCAAATGCCTCAGTTCACAACCAGATCGGGTCGCGAACAGAAATTTCAGAAGTTTGCCTCAGTTCGCGAACTCTGCATTGGGTGACCACTGCAATCGCGGCCATGTTGCCGCACGAACACAATCGTGATAGCGCCCATCTTCCCTGCACAAGCGTGATCACAATTGCAGCCATCTCCCCCCCACCCCCCGAGCATGATCACTATCACACAATTATCGTTTGGACTCTCCCTCCAAACAATAACCTTCCCCATCCCACAAAGGTTAGTGTTTTCTACTGTACCGTACTTTACAAGTCCTTTGTTGTTCTTTGTTACTTTATTTCAAATTTTTGTGCTAAAAAAAAATATACAGAACGGATTAACCTTATTTACATTGAACCTTATGGGGAAATTTGACTTGGCTCGTGACCAATTCTGGTCATGACCAGAGTCCTGGAACAGATTAAGTTCGTGAGCCAAAGTACCACTGTACTCTGCTTCTGGACTATTTATGGTGAAGTAATGACTAGGACTTTGAATTAAACTTAGGAGCCAAGGAAGTTTGTACAACAAGGAGGATGCATGATGTGAATGTTTGACTCTAGTCAAACTTTTAGCAGCAGCATTCAGCAACAAATGAAGCTTCGTGTAGTTTTCAAGCAGTGCATTTAAAAATACAAAAAGGAAGATGGGACAAGGCAGGTAGCCAGTGTTCTGTTTAAAGGTATGCAGGGTTGCCTTTTCAGTTTCAAAAGAAAGCTAGACCCACTCTGGGACACATGTCAAGCATACTATTACATTGTTGTTGTTTCTCAGAGTATCTGCATTGATTGCAATAAATAAAGTAGCTGCCCCATTTTCCTATTGCATCATCAAAACAAAAATAATTTAGATCACCTCATGCTGACTTTCCTGATTTCATGTTGCCATTTCCACCACCTTACCCACCCCAAAATCAAAGGGCATGGGGTTTAACATTTGGACTGAGGTTTCCTTTTCTGAAGCTCCTGATGACTCAAATGCTAAATTGACATGCTTGCCACCTATAATTTAGCTGCCTTCATCCATATTCGTTTACTGAATTTACACATAAAAAGATAGCATCTGGGCATACATGCAGGTAATTCAATAAAACATCCAGGTTATCAGAATTAGACAGCCAATCCCAATTCGTACCCAATTCTGCTCTAAAAGGATGAACAAAGTCACATCAATCACCAGTCCTTTTTCTTGCCTTGCAGATAAGGCAGCAATATTTCATATTCTGTTTGCTAATGGACCATCACTCTCTCAATAGCAAAAATAAGCATTCCAAACTTATCCCAAGTGCATATATTACTGGAATTTTGGAAGTTCTCACCAGATACTAATTTTTAAGAGGACCAAATACAACTGTGTCATCTTAGCACACAGTTGTATGGACTTGCCGCTTGGAAGTCCCCACACTTGGAAGCTTTTGAGATTCCTGTGACCTGCTGGGATAAAGCTAAGAATGTGAGAGGACGGGCAGAGCTTATTGTTGCCTCCCTGTCCTCTATTTTTGCAGCTTTGGAAAAAGAAGTAAAGAAGCCTAGAGGAAGGTCAGGATGAATTATATCCTGGTTTTTCCAGTCTCTTCTCTTCCCCACTCATAGGAGAAGCAGCCAGAATGATTTGTTTCATTCCAGTTGCAACAGAGTGGAATCCAAAGTTGGAGCACTGTCTCTGGCTTTAGAAGGGCTAATCGGAACCTTTGCCCAGGAACCATAGGTTGGCTGTCTTAAAGACAAATTATTAGTAGGAATGCTACTACTAGTAGTATTCGATACTGTACTGCCCATAGCCAAAGCTTTCTGGTCAGTTTACAACAAATGATTTCTTACCTCTTACCCCAAATGTTTTCACTGGAGTTCCTATAGTATCTTGAATTATATTGGTCTTCTGTTTTTGTTTTTAATGGTGGTGTTTGTTTTATGGATTTTTTGTGAATTTATGCTTACTGATTTTTATCCTACCAACTCATATAGTTTTTATCTTGTATGCCATTTACAAACCCAGCCTAAAAATAGCTTTAATTTTTTTAAAAAATATTTATTTGTTTGTTTTAGTTTAAAAAGTGAAGTGAGCTGTAGTCTATGGTTTGGTATGCTTATAACAACATTCCAGAGTATGGGTTGAGTATAGGTTATCATTCAATTGTGCATTGTTATTGTATTAGGGGCTGTTGTTACATGCAAAATCTGTACTATACTTTAGCAATGAATTGTCCAACA